TCGGTATATATTCAGAAGATTTGAATTTGATTGTTTATTATCTTGAAAGACTTTAGTTCATCCATCTAATATTCTGTAACATGAAGATGTCTCAAAATGACAATACTGTGTGCTTTTGATTTGAGTTTTGGCCTCTTTTTCTGTTCACCAATGTAATTGTTTTAACAGATACATTTGAATCTGTGTACAGCAACTGATTCGAATTGACTGACTACCATTCATATTATTCTTGATTACTATTAATGGGTTTTCAGTTAATTGATTACATAATAATCTAATGTTTGCTAACTCCATGACTTTTAATCACTAGTTCATTGTTCTGGAACTTTCCCTCTCAAACTTTATTTATTTATGGGTAACAAATAATTTTTTTAATGACCTTATTAACAATCTTATTGGAATCTATGCTACATCATGATACATATATTTATCTTTGATCACCCTCGTATTTATTATGTTTGTCAATATCTGTGATAACGTTGATTTTAGATATATGTAAGAGACGGGAACGAACTCCGTTGAGAAATGATGAAGGTATACGATAGATCACTCGAAATGATTTCGATTTATCTACATTATGATCGCTATCAATTAGATGTGCCAAGGTAGAACTAAGTATTGTTTCTATCTGACCCTTCATAAACCATGCTGATAGATGTTCACTTATTCGTTGGTTAAGTTGTCTGGTAGTATGCCCGATATAACTATCTCCACAGGAGAAGCTGAATTTGTAAATTCACATTGAGGAGGCCAACTGAGGTAACTTGTCCTTCATTTGAGTAGACATCGCTAGTCGACTCGAGAGAGTCAGCGCAAGATTGACTGTGTAGAATGTAGATAAATCGAAATCATTTCGAGTGATTTATCGTATACTTCCATCATTTCCCAACGGAGTTCGTTCCCATCTCTTACACATAGCTGGAGTCACCGGAATTCGTACATTTAACTCCGATTTTAGATATTTCAGGTTGTAAATAGCTGATAAGCACTTAGTGAAATGTTTTCATATTATTCTACAGCACACATTTCTTTTGCTCTCTTCATAACAATGAAGGGGACTATATGCTTGAAGCTTTTATTCATCAATAGAACAATTAACCCAATATTCTATATTTTAAATGCCTAAAATATTATTTCTATACAGATAAATTTAATACAGTGAATAACAGTTACTTAGTATTGAGTCATAAAGATTTCATATGAGCTGTTATCTAGTATTAGTATTAGTATTAGTAGTAGTAGTAGTAGTAGTAGTAGTAGTAGTAGTGTAATGAACGAGAACACAAGTCAGGACAACCAAATGTATTTGAACAGAAAATCATAGAATTTCTTAGTTAACTCTGAGAATCACACAGTAAATACTTCATATGTAAAACGTCAATCAATCGTCCCAGACTTCATTGTTCTTTCATTTCCACATCAATCATTCTTGCGTTCTCCTTCTCATTTCTTTGATCTTCTTAACCTTCTGCTGCCAGGTATTTCACTTTCAACTGATGATACATACTACTTATATCTATCGACATCAGTAGCACACACCACGGTTGTAGTAGTAGTAAAAGGATTATCTCTTAAAACTTATTATAAAATCGAACACATAAAAATGTCTAACATTTATTACTACAAAATTTTACTGAGGAAAAAAAGTTCAACTAAATTTGACGAGACTATAATCTATGGATGAAACAATCAGATTTACGATAACAGGTCTTGGATTTCGGCACGAAATTCACTAACCCATTTGGCTAAATAGAGTCTTGGCATTATAGCTGATGTCAATTCATGATGAAAACCCTAAATTTAATTCTTAACCCTCAACATCAACTGTAAAACGTAATCCTTATTCTTCAAACTGCTTTAAATCTTTCATTTAGCCCTAGTAAGTAGGTAAACACTCTCAAGGTCACTTTGGTGTCACTCAAAGGTCGTCCATAAATGATAGTCTCACTCTAAATTCTATTGATTCAATTGTATAATACACCTTTCAAGATGAAGATAAAAAATCGACTAATATAAAAGTATACAGTGTTTTATTTATATTATCTTCTTATTGTTTCTATACTTAGATGAATGACCAATCAGTAATCATTCAATCTATAAAACGCTTTTTACTATTACTAATATGTTACTTACTTACTTACGCCTGTTACTCCTCGTGAAGGAGGATAGGCCGCTCACCAGCATTCTCCATCCAACCCTGTACTGGGCAATCCTTTCCAGCTCTTTCCAGTCGTTATTCACCTTTTTCATATTTGCCTCTATTTCCCGACGTAATGTGTTCTTTGGCCTTCCTCTTTTCCGCTTCCCTTCAGGATTCCAAGTTAGGGCTTGCTTCGTGATGCAGTTTGACGATTTGCGTAATGTATGTCCTATCCATTTCCATCATCTTCTCCTAATTTCTTCTTCAGCTAGAAGCTGGTTTGTTCTCTCCTAGAGAAGGCTGATTACTAATATGTATTGCGCTAAAAATGACATGCTTTCAAATCATTTTATGTTTGATTATGCAATTTGCATGCATCTTTTGCATCATTCAATTAACTACAGTTCTGTCACAAATGTCTAGTTGAAATCATTTGTGAATTATAGAATTTTTAATAGTACACTCTTATATTGTCTTAACATTGACTTGTTCATTTTTATCAACTTGATCATGCTTGTAAATTGTTATACATTTTGTAATCATCATTCTTGAAAACGTGTTATACACTTATTATCAAATATATGACAGAATAAATATTCTAAACCTTTTCTATATAACTTACGAATTCCTCAAGTGGAGTCGCAGATGCTCACCGCTGAGGAGTTCAGCAATAGGAAGAAACAGCCGTCCAGTGCTTTCAGGTTTTCAATGGTGGTCTAACATCAATCGATTCATGATCTCAATCAAAAATCTGATAATTTCCACAACCGTATACTGATAACTATCAATGGATGAATTTGAAAATAAAGAGAATAAATAAACTAACTTACTTACGTGCTTAAGTGTTTTGCCCCTTGTGGAAGAGTAAAGACCGCCTATCAGAATTCTCTAACCAACACTGTTTTGAGAAATTCTTTCCAGTTGTTTAGAATAGACAGAACAACAATAGTAAGTTGATAGCATATGACATATATATACAAACCAAATTCCTAATAGAAGTCAAAAAATCGAACACAATCTCTTATGACAATTTTAAAGTCCCTACTTCATGCAGTACAGTTCTTTTGCAACATTACACGAAGTTATAATTACAATTTGTAAACTGTTCACATTAAAAAATGTTAAAAATTGTGTTGATTTAAAAGTAATATTGAAATTTATTCAGAACTAAGACGGTGGTTGGATGTAGTCAGCAGGAAACCTTGAACCTAGGTTTTGTCCAATTTGGCACTTGTCAGTAAGGTGTATCTGTAATCTTAACGGAACTGATGCTGCCTCATGGATTCGATCCCGTGTCACCTAGCTTCACAGTCAAAGACGTTACCACTAGGCTATACCTGCAGCGACTGATCTCCTGTAGGACTGAGATGTATTCACAATTGATTGATCACTGAGTAGTGATCAATGTCATATGTTTTAGGTCTTTGGTACAAATCGAATGCTATCGAACAAGTTAGTTAATCAATTGTAAATCTTATCAAAACTAGATATTTCTCTACGAACACTTTTTTATGTACAATCATATAAAAATACATCTCTATCTATGTTTAAACAATCAGAAAGTGCCTGTTCATTTGTATCCATTGCTCATCAGTAAACATACCATCGTTGAACAGAATATTACTTATGATGAGTAATGTGCTTTGAAATGAGTCCACAAGCTTTTAGTAAGAAATCAAACCTGATAAAGTTTAATCACATTAAGAGTGACACAATGTCATCATCTGCAAAGTTTAATACTACTCAGAAACATTTCATTAATACACTCTGATTCTTAAATAATTTCTGTATATGCGTGACTCATGCTCCTCTACGAGGGGTAACAGGCGTAGGTAAATAAGTAAGTAATTTTTGTATATACTGAATTAATACTGTTATCAAGCTTTTAGTGTACGCTAAAATATTTCATATCTGATAGACACTATCTATTATTGAAGGTTGAATTTTTCATCAAATTAAAATGATATAACAGAGGATAACTGTTATAACTTGTGATCGTCGATTAGAGGGCAGTGACTTATCGATCGGACTAAGGACGCGTAAAACACGTGCAAGCAGCTTAGAGTTTTGATTGGTCCTGCTTTCTGCCTAGCCCAGCCAGTTAAGTTCAGAACACCAATCTCAACCTCTGCGATATGAATTATTATATTTCAAACATACTGAGTCTATATACCAATCACACAGACCACAACATAGCATAAAATAGAAAATAACATTTGTACAAAATTTGGTCAAATGTGGCCGTGAATGTGGGAGGCAGTGACTACTCATAGTATTGGTCCATAAAACGATCCCAAAGTTACCATTCATTATGTTTCTAGGGTCATAACAATAACAATATAAATTTCTTGTTTTTCCTAAGAAGAATCATTTCACATGGATGAAATAAATGTTATCTTTAACAGTACAGTAAAGCGACTCAAACTTTTGCATTGAAACTATCTAATAATTCATATTTATCATGTTATTTGGAATAACTGAATGAAACATTTTTTTCCGTCTTATTGTACAGTTTATATTTAATCTTTATCAACAATTGGATAGGTTGAAGTTAGACATTAACACCGTTGAATGCTGGCCAGCTCAGTGGTCTAGAGGTTAAGCATTCGCACGTGAAACCGATAGGCTCTAGGTTCAAATTCCGCGTGCAGAATCATGGATACGCACTGCTGAATAATCCTATACTTGGACGAAACGATCATTTAATGCTTCCAGGTTCTTCATGGTTATCTAGCTTTCATAGATCCATAAATTCAACTATTAAATATAACATTACCATTATTTCGATGAAATATAAAATAATAGATTCATTCATAATCTTTTAACCGACAAAAACTACTTTATTTTTTCTTTGTTCTAGTTGTATTTCCCAATATCGTGGAGTAAGATGCGACCTTTTTACACCAGAAAAAGAAGAAAACCATTTGGATCAACTGCCAATTAATGAATCAAAATTTGATTCATGCGAATCAGGTAAATTATAACAACCAGTATTTTGTCTTATTAATAAGTTTTGTTTGATCAATAGTTGAAAGCATCAAGTTACTTTTTACAACCAGATAGTCACAATTGATTGATCACTGGGTGGTGATCAATGTCATGTATGTCTAGTCCTTATTTAGTGCAGATCGAATACTATCGACCATGTTGGAATGTGGCCACCAGTCTAGGTGACTCGACGCTACGTGAACTATATATTGAGATTAGATGGTGGTTGGAGGTAGTCGACAGGAAACCCTGGACATTGATCACCATCCAGTGATCAATCAATTGTGATAACATCTCAGTCATACAGGAGGTCAGTCGCGGCCCGGGTAGCTAAGTGGTAAAGTCTCTGACTGTGAAGCTGGGTGACACGGGATCAAATCCGCCAGGGAGCGCCAGTTCCCTCAAGATTACAGGTACACCTTGCTGACGAGTGCCAAGTAGCACGAAACCCGTGTCCAGGGTTTCCTGTCGACTACCTCCAACCACCATCTAGAACCAGATAGTGAATAACTCAGTCCATTAAGCGGTAATCAAATGAATACTTTGATGTGAATAACTTTGAAAAATAAGATAGTTCAATATCAGACAGGTGAGTATGGTTGAAACGACAGACTCAGATTTTGTCTCAAGTAGAATATATAATTAATGCATATCTGAAGACTTTAGTGAACAACTATTGTTTATAGTGTTTAAACTCAGTTAACTTAGTGTTTTCCTTCAACATAAAGTGCCCCCAAATAATCACTTCTTATCTCTACTTCTATATTTTTTATCACATCATCTGGGTTTAAATTTTATATTACCGAATAACTACAACTAGAGAGACACCTAATCCCAAGCAGTATGAAGCGCCCGCTTCGTTTCAGTTTGAGATTCTTCAGCAATTCATATCCACGCTAAAATTAGTGACTGGGGCCAGAGTTTTGAGCTTACAATACAAGTGGATCACATTCTCGATAAATTAAGTTAATATACAGTAAATTTAATCAATTCTCAACTACTATTACATTGAATGTATAATTAATATTTATATACAGAACTTAATCTATCCTCGGTAATTCGGAATCTACTGAATATCGAATAAGCTTAAACTGCCATCTATTCTTAAGCAACTTCTGATCAAATCTATTATACCATCGTCCATCATTGTCTTCAGTGAGTTACTATCTCACAACAAACCTGGTTGAACTCCACTGGTCACGGCTTCTCACCAAAACTTCAGTAAATACCTTATGAAGCCAGTCACTAGTGAGCAGATGATGATTATTATTATCATAATTAGGGTTTTGTGTAGATTTTAGTAATTTCATAGTTGATCTCATGAATTGATTAAAGCTATGGAAAACCTGGAAGCACTGAACGACAATGTGCATCCACGATCTCGCACATGGGATTTGAACCCATAACCTTCGGACTCACATGCGAACGCTTAATCTCTAGACCACTGGGCGGGCATCCAAGGATGTTAATGTCTAACTTCAACCAATTCATGAAATGACGACACCGTCCACTATTGTCTTCAGTGAGTTACTATCTCACAACTTATTCCATCTTTGGAGAAGGATAGAAAACTATCTATTTAATAAAGAAGGATGATACTATGATGCCATCCACTATATCTTATTTTATACTGTAACATTTCAAAGTAACAGACACCCGTAAGTTACAAGCATTGGATTATAAATACTTACGAATCGTTGTTTTAATGTAGCTTAACGACTAAGAATGTAATGTAGTTATCAATCCCGAAATCGTTCTCGATAATTTCAACTAAATTAAACATTGGGTGGGAAGTTAATAACAAATATATTATAGGGATATCTCAATGATTGAGATCATGAAACGATTGATGTTAGACTACCATTGAAAACCTGCAAACACTGTATGATCCGTTCGTCCTATTGTAGGACACCTCAGCAATGCTCATTCACGATCCCGCTTGTTGGATTCGAGTTATTTTCATCCCAATCTATTCAATCAATAACCTCATAACTTAATCTTCTTAAAGTTGGTATTATTTATGGTGAAGGAGAACGCAATTGGGGATAGCAGAATCATGTTTTGCACGAAATTACAGAGTTACTTGATAAAATAGAAGAACCATACACTAATACTTAATTTGCAAAATGTTCATTAATTGTCTCAGACTTCACTATTCCTGCATTTTCATATCGATTACTACCTATTTCCGTTCTTTCCTTCTTGATCTTCTCAATCTTTAATTGCCAGACATTATAATATTCCTAACTCGTGTTATATATTACTTATATAAATATAAGTAACACACATTACACTATTATTATTTCTTCTTGTTTGCTTTCTTTATATTCATTTCTTTTTTCGGTACTTCAATTTAATTTAACACCTTAACTAAATGAACATCTGTTCTATATAATACATTGTATGCAACTAAATGATTGACTTACGGCTATTGGTAAAATAATAATATAAATCTTTATAGGTTACAAAATAAATCCTTATCCCTATATCATGAAAAGTATCAATAATGTTTTCTTCAAAACGATTACATTTAATTGTAAATCCATGTAGATCAGCTAGAAGGATTCATATGAATTACTTTTAAATAATGAGAAAGTTATACTGATGTTAGATTCTCTAAACTGCCAACGGAGAATAGGCCGACGACCAGCATTCTCTGACCATTCTGTCCTGGGACTTCCTTTCTATTTCTATTCAATTATTGTTCATTCATCTCATGTCTGTCTTCATTTCTCGGTGTAATGTGTACTTTGATCTCCCTCTACTCCTTTGGCCTTGAAGATTCCAAATGAGGGCTTGCCTTGTGACACAGTTGGGTGATTTCCTCAATGTATGTCCTAGCCACTTCCAGCGATTCTTCCTGATTTCTTCCTCCGTTGGAATCTGGTTCGTCCTCTCCAACACTAGGTTGTTGCTGATAGTGTCTATTCAACGGATCCGAGGTATTTTACATAGACAACTGTTACTAAACACTTGTATCTTCTGAATAATGGCTTTCATATTTCTCCAAGTTTCCACCCCATACAGTAGAACTGCCTTGACATTTGTATTGAAAATTCTGACTTTGGTGTTGGTTGACAGATAGTTGTTTTGAGTTCCAGGTGTTTTTGAATCGTAGATATGCTGCTTTTGCTCTGCCGATTCACGCCATCACGAAAACACTTGATCTCTCTAAATTCAATCGTTTATGAATGCACAACTTATCTATTATACTGTTTAGCTATTCTTATACTTATTGAGCCGTCATTTAATAATCTTTTCTAAAATTCATTGCTTACTAAATAATGATAACTATTTATGAAAGAAATAAAGTCGTTTATAGCACAAGATTGTATTTTAGTTATGTTTTCTTATTTTTTGACATGTGAAGCTCGTGTAATTTCATTATGGTATAGAAAGTATCTCAATGATGTAACATTACATAACATGAAGTGAATTTCATCGTTCGAATCTCGCAGGGGGAGAGGTCATGGATGCGCACTTCTGAGGAGTCCCACAATAGAACGAAACGGCCGTCCAGTGCTTCCAGGTTTTCCATGGTGGTCTAGCTTCAACTGACTCATGGTGTTAACCACTGAATTTACGATAATATCCACAAAACCCATCTGATATAAAATTAAAATTACTTACCAGACTAAATTAAAATCAATTTTTATCACTTAAATAGGCTAACCAATGATTGTTTAACTTTCTCATATCAAATGTGTAGACAGTATTGAAAGTGTTAATTACTTTCACCCCATGTTGAAGCGCATAAGCATTCTCCGTTCAACCCTGTTCTGGGCAATCCTTCCCAATTGTTATTCATCCTTTTCATGTCTGCTCCCAATTATTGGTGTAGTACATTCTTTGACCTTCCTCTTTTCCGTTTTCCTTCAGGATTCTGAGTTAGCGCTTATCTCATGATGTAGTTTGATGATTTGCGTAGTGTATGTCCTATCCATATCCATCGTCTTTTCCTAATTTCCTCTTCATCTAGAAGCTGGTTTGTTTCCTTCCACAGTAGTTTGTTGCTGATGGTATCCGACCAATGGATATTGAGTATCTAGCTTAGACAATTGTTTATAAATATTTGTATCTTTTTTGATGATGGTTGTATTAGTTCTCCAAGTTTCAACTTCATACAGTAGTAGAACAGTTTTGACATTCGCATTGAAGATTATGACTTTGGTATTAGTTGACAGACAGTTGTTTTGAGTTCCAGATGTTCCTTAATTACTTCTTTTTTTCTGTAACTAACATAAAAAATATGTCAATCTTTTGTATTATATACATTGACCATATATTCAAATAAAAGAACTAATTCAAATTTATCATCTTGAACATTAAATGATGTATGTTTCTTTAACTTCAAAACTGATTAAGTTGTTTATGTCAATCATATGCTAGTTTTTGCAGTACTTAGTTCGACAATAAAGTACACTTTTAAAATAATCACAAATTGTAGACACCTTGTTTTTTCTAGCTACTTGTATTGTGAAAGACTATGGACAGGTAATTTAAATCAAAACTAATAATGTACATATTTCAAAAGGGGTTTTATGAAGATTTCAGTAATTTCAATAGTTGAAATCATGAGTCAATTAAAGCTGGACCACCATGGAAAATCTGGACCCATCGGACGTCCATTTTGTTCTAGTATGAGACTCCTCAGCAGTACACAACTACGATAGGTCCTCGATTCGAATCTCCCAGGGGCGGAATCGTGGATGCGCACTGATGAGGAGTCCCATACTAGGACGAATCGGCCGTTCAGTGCTTCCAAATTTTCCATGGTGGTCTAGCTTTAAATGACTCATGGTTTCAACTATTGAGAGTATATATTTCACTTGTAAATAAAAAAATATTTCCCTTATATTAGTCTAACCTATAAATTTGAAACAGTTTCTATATATTTCATTTCAACTGTCATATATATAAAGTACAACTTGGAGACAAGTACATGAATATGTACCCGGTGAATGAGTTATATTATAAATTACCTC